TCAGAGTCAGGAGAACCTCAGGAGAACCTCAGAGTCAAGAAGACCTCGTTAGTAGAACCACAGAGCCAGGAGAACTGCAGAGTTGGCAGAACCACAGAGCCAGGAGAACTGCAGACTCAGGAGGACAGAGTCAGGAGAACCACAGATTGAAGAGAATGTCAGAGTCAGGAGAACCTCAGGAGAACATCAGAGTCAGGGAGGTTCCACGGATTGAATCTCAGGATGCTCCTCGTTGCTCTGATTTGTCTCAGATGGCTTTCCTTCCTTTGACTCTTCTCCTTTGGAAACAGAAACAGCCCACCGGCTGGCTTCACTTTAATGAGATTGTCGTGAAGCCCGTTTGATTTCACCATCTTAAGATGACAACCTAAACGGGATGCCACAAGGAGCGGTTCTTGTGTTGCAGCTTTTGTCATCACTCATTTTGACCGTTAAGACACTTGAAGCTGCTCCAGAACTGCAGCACTGATCCGAGGTGGAGTTTCTTTGTTTTATTATGAATTTTAATGGACATTTAGTTAAAAAAAAAACAAAAAAAAAAACTTTTTTTTATTGCTGAAATGCTAAATGTCTTAAGAAAGTTCATTCATGTCAACATAATAATTATTAATCACTAAAACTACAAAAAAACCTTCATTGTGCTGAATTTGAAGTTAAAACCATGTCAAGTTCTTGAGATAAATAATGTTATGTTGAGATGCATCCTCAAATACCAACATAAATTATTTTACATCTGGATAATAAAACAAATATATTTTATCTTGAGATACTGAGATAAATAAATGATTTTGACTGGATATATTGAAATAATATAATTAAACTAAAACATGTTTAATCTCTTCCACTCTGATCCTTCTCTCATCACAATGAATAAAGTTCTAGAAAAACTAAAGAAATGTTTTTATTAATTTTTTTTAACCTAAAATGTTGTCAAATATTTATTTTAAAACATGCTTTTTAATCATATATTCTTATTAGAATCCTCTTATTTTGGAAATCTTACAGAAAGAAGTATTTGCCCACAAAAGGTAAAAAAAAAAAGAAATTGCTTTTTTGCGAAAATGCAGTGTGAATGCTTATTGCAGAATAACTTGCTGAAAAACAGCTGAAACTAGTTTTAAAAAGTGCTTAAATGTAGCTGAAATTGAAGAGCAAGCCTAATTCAGGAGAAAAAAGCAGAAAGCACACATATTTGCTGAATTAGTTTTACATAAGCAAAAATGAGGAAAGTAGCTAAAAAGAAAAAGAAATGAGCAAAAAATGGTTGAAAAGCAGCTGAAAAGGCATAGCTTAAATTACCAGACAGCAGAAAATGCTGAAATGAACCAAAAAAATGTAGAATGAGCTGAAAAAGATCAAATTAGCAGAAAGCAGCTGAACATTAGCTGAAATAGCAGAAAAAGCTGAAAGAAGCAGAAATAACTTAAAAGAAGCATAACAATCTGAAATTAGCAGAAATAAGTTAGTTAGGCTGAAAGCTGCAGAAATTACTACAAAAAAGTGAATTTATCTGGAAACAGCTGAAATTAGCAAAAAAAAAAAAAAAGCCAAAAAAAAAAGTAGCTGAAAAGTTAGAAGCTTAAATTAGCATATAAAAAGCAGAAAGAACATGATTGCCCAATTAGGCTGAAATAAGCAGAAATGAGCACAACGAAGTGCAAATTATCCCCCCCAAAAAGCTGAAATTTTCACATGAAAAAAAAAAAGTTGAAAAGTAGCTAAAATCAGAACAAAGCTGAAATTACCAGAAGGAGGTGGAGAGAGCAAGTTTTGCTGAATTAGGCTGAAAATTGTTTAAATGAGTGCAAAAAAATGTGGAATTAGCTGGACAAAAGCTAAAATTAGCATAAAAACAGCTATATAGTAGCTGAAATAACATAAAAAGCTGAAACTTGCAGAAATAAGCTAAAGGCGCATAATAAGCTGAAATCAGTAGGAAAAAGTTAGAAGTACAAAAATGCTGTAGTTAGCAGAAAGAATCTGAAAGGAGCACAAAACAGCTGAAAGTAGCTGAAAACAAGTTTAAATTTGCACAAGGAAGCTGAAAGAAGCTGAAGCAGAACAAAATGTGAAAGGAGCAGTGAAAGGTTGTAAACACATCTAAAGATCTGAAGGACGGAAAATGAGCTCAAAATGAGAAGTAAAAGAGCAGCCGAAGAGCTTTATTAGAACTAAAGCCTCCTGTTTTTGTAGCGTCAGCTGGGTTCTCACTCCCTCCAACAGTTTTGTTTATGCCGTGGTTCTGCCGGGCTTCGGTCCATTAGAACTCAGCCGGCATGTTCGCTCAGGTTTTATTTACACGTTGAACATGCACTAAAAGGACTTTTCCACTGCTTGTCTCTGTTGTTTAATGCTTAAAGGGTTCTCCTGGTGAGAGAGGTTCTGCTGGTCCAGCTGGTCCAATTGGCCTGGCTGGTAGACCAGGTCCGCAGGGACCCCCGGGTCCTGCAGGAGAGAAAGGTGCACCGGTGAGTATTTCCTAAAATATTTGTTAATTTTGTCTCAACTATCATTTAAAGTAGATCAAACATGTTTAATTTTTTTTTCCAGGGGGAGAAAGGACCTCAGGGTCCAGCAGGTCGGGACGGGGTCCAGGGTCCTGTGGGTCTTCCTGGGCCTGCTGGACCCCAGGGCCCACCTGGTGAGGATGGTGACAAGGTCAGTCTCTTTAATAGCTTTAATTGACTCTAAATTTGGGAACTAAAGGGACAGTTCAGATAATTTAAAGTGGGTTTTGGTCAAGAGGCTATGACCAGTTAACCAACTTAACTAGTTGCAACTAGTTGCAGATATCTCCATGACAGGCTGTTGATAGTCCGAGTGGATTTTATTTTGCTCTGTTTGAGATGATAACAACCTTTTTGATTTTGGCCCCACGTACATCCAGCAGGTGGCTCATATTTTTATTCAAAATAAAACTGTTTCTCCAAACTAGGCCCATTCTAAGAGCTATCTACAACAGGTTGGATATTTAATGTTCACACTGTCTCCACAGAACCCCACTTCAGCTCTCATTAACCAGAGTTACCATCAGTTTTCACCCCCAGTTTCCCACTTGAGCTAAATTGATTTAAACAGAGGTAAACCCAGCTAGAGGACATGCTAAACTGGTTTAATCTCTGGTTATTGTCAGGTGGACGCGTGTCCCTGCAGATGATTGTCCAATTACACTGTAAAAATGGACAAATGGACAGCTCTGAGTCCCAGAGATTGGATGTTTGTCCAACCTGAGGGTTGTTGGTGATTTCTGTGACATTCAGCGAAGACGAGAAATCAATCGGAGTCAGTGACGGTGTGCGTTTCTGTTTCCCAGGGAGAGGCTGGAGAGCCCGGCCAGAAAGGAAGTAAAGGTGACAAAGGAGAGCAGGTGGGTTAAAAAAAAAACTCAAGAATTTTTATTTATCGCTCACACGTTACAAAGTTCTGGGAAGTACTACAAGCAGAATAAAAAGCTCGATATTAAAAATACGCTTCGATGTTTCTGACTATTTTACACATTTTGGTTTTAACGTGTTTGCTTGTTCGTTTGTTTAGGGTCCTCCTGGACCAGCTGGTCTCCAGGGTCCCATAGGTGCTCCAGGTCCTGCTGTAAGTACAACTGATCCAGCTGAAACAGACTAACGAGACGATGGAGGAAGAGCTCGCTACAGAGAGATAATCAGACAGAACAGGGACGGTCTTTGAGTTTGAGCAAAACTTCTGCAGTGAGGCGATGGTTACTTTATCGTAGCGTCCTTGTGATGCCTGTGCCATGCATTCTGGGAACATGTGGGTTAAAGGCTTGATGAAGGCACAGAAGAAGAAAAGATCAAACCATGACCCCATCTATATAGAGCATGTTATGGAACTCAAGGAGACTTTACATCGGGGTCAAAAAAAATAAAAATAAAAATAGAGAAATTGCATTTCTTGCAAAAATACAGTGTGAAGGCTTGTTGCAAAAGAACTTGCTGAAAACGTGCTGAAATGAAGCTGAAATGCATGAACAAGCCTAACTTAGCAGAAGAAAGCAGAAAGAATACATATTTGCTGAATTAGGTTTAAATAAGCAGAAATGAGCACAAAAAATTAGGAAATTAGCTAAAAAAGCTGAAATTAGGGGAAAAAAAGCGGATAGTATGTAGCTGAAAAGGCAAAAAGAAGCTTAAACTACTAGAAGGAAGTGGATAGAGCTGAAATCAGCTCCAAGAATGTCAAATTAGCTAAAAAACAAAAAAAGAAAAAAAATTAGCATAAAACAGCTAAATAGCAGCTGAAATAGCATGAAAAAGTTTAAATTAGCAGAAATAAGCTGAAAGGAGCATAAAAAGTTGGAATTAGCAGAAAGAAGTTAATTAGGCTGAAAGCACCAGAAATTACCATGAAAAATGTGAATTTATCTGAAAACAGCTGAAATTAGCTAAAAACGCTTAAAATAGAACAATTAGAACAAGCTTAAATTAGCAGAAGAAAGCAGAAAAAACATGTTTGCCCAGTTAGACTGAAAGAAGTAGAAATTAACACAAAAGTGAAAATTCTCTGAAAAAAAGCTGAAATTAGCTAAAAACATGCTGAAATGTAGCTGAAATGGAAAAACAAGCCTAATTTAACAGAAGAAAGCAGAAATAACACATTTTTGCTGAAGTAGGTTTAAGTAAGCAGAAATTAACACAAAAATTGCAAAATTAACTAAAACAGCTGAAATCAGCGAGTAGTTGAAAAGGTGGAAAATATCTGAAAAAAGCTGAAATTAGCACAAAAAAACAGCTGAAAAGCAGCTAAAAAAGCAGACGCAAGTTTAAATTACCAGAAGGAAGTGGAGAGAGCACATTTTTGCTGAATTTGGCTGAAAACGTTGAAATGAGTGCAAAAAATGTGCAATTAGCTGAAAAAGCTAAAATTTGCATAAAACAGCTAAATAGTAGTTGAAGTAACTAAAACTAGCGGAAAACAACTGAAAGGAGCATGACAAGCTGAAATTAGCAGAAAGAAGTTAGAAGAAGCACAAAAATGTTGTAGTTAGCATAAATACTCTGAAATTAGCACAAAATAGCTGAAAAGCAGTTAAAATTTGCTGAAAATAGCTGAAAAAAGTTTAGATTTGCACATGGAAGCTGAAAGGAGCTGAACCAGACAAAATATGAACGGAGCAGTAAAAGGATGTAAACAGATCTAAAGATTTGAAGGATGTAAAATGAGCTCAGTTCATTTTCTATGAGAAAAAAAATGTGGCCGAAAAGGTTAAATATCTCAAAAAGCTAAAAGTTTTCAGCAAATTTTCAGGGATGAGACATTGTCAGCATCAACAGACAGAACTTTCCAGAGGGTTGACAATGCAACTCTGAAATCTGATACCAAATGTTGGCGTCCTGGTGTGAGGGGCAGCATGCAGTCAGGGACGAGTCCAGCATCAGAGGACTTGAGGGTTCAGGATAGAGGTCTGAGAAGGACGAAGGAGCACAGCCATCGTTCATTTGTAGCTGAGACTGAGAAACTTGTAATGAATCTGGAAGTGATTTAAGCTCAATGAGAGCTGGAGAGATGCTTCCATGGCGTCTCCTTAAAGTTTTCTTTGTTATAAAAGACAAGAAACGCAAGTTTGTTTTTATTTATTCACTAGAAAACTTTCCACAATATCTGCCTGAGCTGAGACGAGTTTGTGAGCAGCGTTCTCAATGGACCAGTGTGGGCAACCAAACAGCGTGCACGGGATACAATACAATGCAAGCCATGCACATGAAAATAGGCTGCAGTTTTCCAAAAATCGGTTGCTCAGATTGCGTCCATGCGGCTCGATGGGCACGTAGTTGGAAACACTCGGCTTTTTTTAATCAAATTTATCTTTGACTTTTGAGTCACCAACTAGCAGACACAGCCCTGTGAGATCCTGACTTCAGAAACTTGTCATATAATTAAACAGTTCAACATAAACATGGTGAGTAATGATGTTAAACTTGGTTCCCAGGGAGCTGATGGAGAGCCTGGTCCTAGAGGCCAGCAGGGCATGTTCGGGCAGAAAGGAGACGAAGGCCCCAGAGGTTTCCCTGGACCCCCAGGACCCATTGGTCTGCAGGTTTGTACCAGAATGCACCTTTTTCTCCTCTTTATGTAAAATAGTTTCTGTTCATGTTCCACAACAGCCACAGTAAAAAGATACATTTTACTGGACATTCTGATGATGATGTTCCACACGTTTCAAACGTTTCCTCAGACTTCCTCTTTGCAGCACCTCCACTGAGCCACCTGTCAGGTGATAACTGGTCTTCCTCAGGTTTTGCTGCTGTTTCCACCTCAGAAAAGAAGAAAATTAGAGTTGAAACATAAAAAAACGCTTCCTGAGTCACAACCCTGACTCCAACATCCCAAAATGAAATCAAGCTTTCATTGCTGAAGAGTAATATTTAAAAAGTTATTTTTAACCTAGGAGAAAACTGGAAATATACATGAAGTACCAACTTCCATTTTGGTGTGTGGCTACATCTAGGTGCAAGAAAGGTCACTATTGAAAATTGGATTGTCACGTCAAAATCCAAGATGACTACCACAACCATATGTGTGTATATCGGCCACCCCAATCGCTTGAGGAAACTATGTTCTACTTTTATACCACTTAAAAGTATAGTTTCCTTCAAATGATTGTGGTGGCTGAAGATTACCGGCAGGACTTAATTTGTAAACCCATTGATGCCAGAGCGCAAAGAGCGGGCAGGCTGAGGGGTGGGGAGGTCTGGGGGTCCTTCCCCAGAAAATTTTGAATGAAGTAGATGTGATTTCCTGCATTTTGGTGTATTTTAATGGGTTGTTAAACATCTACATTTATTTACATTTGTGAACACTCCACTTTTGTCACGCATCCTACCCCCCCCCCCCCCCCCCATTTTTTGATGGTTCTGAGCCCGACACTGTCCCTGCTTGGTGTTGTCGCCCGTGTGCGACTGCCTAGTTAGCTCGCCACTTACCCCCACCTTTCTTTTAGGGGTGGAGATTTTTTTAAGGGTAGACGCAGAAATGCTACTTGGAAGAGGCAGCTCGTATACTCGTAAGTGGCTGTTGTGTTTAAAATTAGTGTTTATGTAATTATTTTCAGTTTACCTATCCAATATATGTTTTATTCGTTCAAGGCAGTCATATTTGTTCATAACTTTATTATTAGTAAGCCCGAGTGTTACCGTATCCATGCTAGCAGTTACCAGAATGCACCCTGTCAAAATAAGAGAGTTCCCAGATCCTGTTCTAGCAGGACCTGGCTCAAATTAAGCCCTGGTTACCGATAATCCATGGCAGCCATGGCCACCATTGGCCACCCCCTGGCTCTGCCTTTGCTATGCTGGTGGGTGGATAAAAGTTCTACTCCACTCGCCAGGATCTGCTGCTCTGCGCTGACAAACAAAAAGAAATAAAAACTACCTGTGTTCTTCTACAGTGTAAATCCTACCCACCAGAATATCTTGCACCAAAAACATTAAAGTTTTCTCTCATTTCCTGTTTTATTCAGTCCAGGAAAACACTCATCTCAAAAACTACAAATATTCACTATTCAAGTCGCGATGAGGGACATGAGTGTGGCGCTTGTTGTTTATGTGAAGGGGCGGGGCTTAAAACTTCCATTAGAAGGAGGCGGTCCCACTCTGCTTCAACTTCCACGTTCCGGTCAGATGTCTGTTTATTCAGTCTGAGCTGTCCCTTTAATGAAGCGATTTTCCATCAACAAAACAAAGTAATGATTTACCCAGAGTTCCCGGTCTCTTAATGGCATAAAGAACCTCTCAGTCCTGACCCGGCTCTGCTGGAGATGAAGACAGACACAGAAACTCCTCCTCGCTCACTTTAATTGGATCTGCAGGCCATGCTTCAGCACCTGCGATGATTACACCTCTCACCTCTGTTCAGACACAACATCCATCTCCGATTATCTCCTCTCCATGCCAAATAAATAAATAAAATAAAAGCAATGCTGCTTTTTTTAAATGCCAGCTCTACAGTTCATGCGATTCATGTCTGAGGACAGAGTTTAAGGTAATTTAAAAAGCAGATTAGGGTAATGTGGAGCTTTAATGATGTTGTGTTGTGCCATGATTGAGATCTAATGACGGCGGACCTTTCCACTGTTGTCAATTTATTTGTAATTATCAGTTTATTAGTATCCAGCTTCTCAGTCCTGTCTTTGGAAGCTCAGCGCAGAGTTTGGGGTGATTGTCTTAATGAAATTCCACAGAGCGCTGCTCATCATTCCTCAGTGCTATTGTTTCTCAGCGGGGTTGGATTCTATGGACGTTTAATTGAGAGTAATTTGCTTCCCACTGCAGCCCCATTAATTACATGGACTGACCCCCCCTCCAACGGTCTGTTCCTCATCAAGCACGTATACCACGTCGCATAATTAGCGCCATCTTTACACAGATGTTCCTCAGCAGCCAGAGACGATGCCCTACAAAATGAATGACCTGGCTTTCCCTGAATTAATACATATTCCACAACCTTCCAGTCAGATTATCTTGTGATGAGAGAAGACACACACTTATTCATGTATGTACGTGTGTATGATGGACCCTAATGAATCTTTTGGTGGTCTGTTTTTTTTGTTTCTCGCATGAAGCCACAGAAAACCACAACTTTCTCATCAAGACAAAAACTGGCAGAAACGTCAAACAATACGAGGTTCTGCTCATTTACCAGACACTAAACTGGTTTCTGTCTCCACAGAGGAGGGACTTTGGACAATAGGAAATAAGAAGAGCAAGTGCATTTCCTGCGAAAATGCAGTGTGAATGCTTATTGCAGAAGAACTTGATGAAAAACAGCTGAAATTGGCTAAAAACGATCAAACGTAGCTGCAGTACAAGAAAAAGCCCAAGTTAGCATAAGAAAGCAGAAAGAACATATATTTGCTGAATTTGGTTTAAATGAGCAGAAATTAGCTTAAAAAAATTAGGCAGTTAGCTAAATAAAGCTAAAATTAGCAAAAAAATAGCTGAAAAGTGGCTGAAAATGCAGAAAGAAGCTTAAACTACTAGAGGGAAGTGGAAAGAGCTGAAAGCTGAAAAGGCTAAAATTAGCATAAAAAGCTAAAAGTAGCTGAAATAGCAGAAAAGCTGAAAGGAGCGTAACAAGCTACAATGGTCAGAAAGATGTTAATTAAGCTGAAAGTAGCAGGGATTACTACAAGAAACTTGAATGTATCTGAAAACAGCAGAAATTAGCTAAAAATAATTTTAAAAAAAAGATAGCTGAAAAGGTAGAACAAGCTAAAATAAGCAGAAGAAAGCAGAAATATAACGTTTGAATTACCCTCAACCTCCAATTATGCTGAAAGAAGCAAAAAATTGCACATAAAAGTGGAAATAATCTGAAAAAAAAAAATAGAAATTACAAAATAAATAAATAAAAACTGCTGATTTTTTTTCCTAAAGAAGCAGAAAGGAATTTAGCAGACGGAAGTGCAGCGAGAACAATTTTGACCAATAAAGTTGAAAGAAGCTAAAATTAGCACAAAAAGTGCAAATTATCTGAAGAAAAAAAATGAAATGAGCAAAAACACCTGCTGAAAAGTAGCTAAAAAGGCAGAAAGAAGCTGAAATTACAAGAAGGAAGTGGAGAGAGAGCACATTTTTACTGAATTAGGCTGAAAAAGTTTAAATGAGTGCAAAAAATGAAGAATTAGCTGAAAAAGCTAGAATTTGCATAAAAGCTGCTACATAGTAGCTGAAATAAATGAAAAAGCTGAAACTTACAGAAATAAGTTGAAGGAGCATAACAAGCTGAAATTAGCAGAAAGAAGTTAGAAGGATCACAAAAATATTCTAGTGAGCAGAAAGAATCTGACAGGAGCAGAAAACAGCCGAAAAAGCAGTTGGAAGTAGCTGAAGATTTGTTTAAATTTGCAGCAGGAAGCTGAAAGCAGCTGAACCAGAACAAAATGTGAAAGGAGCGGTAAAAGGCTGTAAACAGATCTAAACATCTGAAGGATGTAAAATGAGCTCAGTTCATTTTCTATGAGGAAAAAAAACGGCAGAAAAGACTAAATATTTCAAAAAGCTAAAATTGCACCAATACCAAAAGTCATAGCAGGATTGTCCTGAAACAGCTGAACATTTTGATTTATGATTTGTTGAAATAGCTTGAAAACTGCGGGACGAGAATCGCACAGAAAACCGTACGGAAGAAAAATGGACCACGCTTCATAAACGTTCAGACTGTTATTAAAAAGGGATCGTTGCCTCTGAGGTGTGGAGGTCACACACTGACTCTGTTGTGCTCAAAAACAAGCACGTATCTGATTCTCTTCATGGTGCTTTTAACTTGGTGGACTTCATCTTGACCCTGCTCTGCGTGTCTTTACTTCATATTCCACTGAAGTGATAATTGGGCGCACCAGCAGTTCCAACACAAGCTTATTATCCACGTTCTGCTCCACGTCCAGTAATTAGAGCCGGTGTATTCCAGCTGCTGGAGGAACCTCCAGCACCATCTGCTGATGTGAAAACAAATTGGAACAATGATAGAAGCTGCTGGTTATTCATGCAGCAGCTTCCTGGAGCTAACCTTGTTTTCTTGTGTTGTCTTCAGGGCCTTCCTGGACCTCCAGGTGAAAAGGGAGAGAACGGTGACGTTGGACCCATGGTAGGTGACACACCTGCTGCTTTAAGTAATTAAAGGCTTCGGTAAATGATTGTAAGAAAACACTTTGTGTGTTTGCAGGGTCCGCCTGGTCCCCCTGGTCCCAGAGGTCCCCAGGGTCCGAGCGGAGCTGATGTACGTATGGTCTGAGTAGAAACTAAATCAAGACTTTCTGGCATCGTTTGCCTGAAAACAAAAATGATGGAACGTAAACAAAAACAACAAATTCAACGAGTTGCAAATTTTACAAATCCTTATTTTATTCACAGTAGTGCATCGTAAACAATTATTCAAACGAGAAAAAAATATATGTATTTTTTAAGTTTTGTTGTAGCAACACATCCTAAAAAACAGCTGGATTAGAGGGATGTTTGTCCCGTGAGCGTCCCTTCTTCTTTTACAGCAGTCTACCAAAGTCCAGGACCTGAAGAGACCTGGTTTTGGAGGACCTGAAAAAAAAAAAACTGGTTTTGGAGGTTTTGGAGGACCAGATGAGACAAATTTTGGGAGGTTTTAAAGGACCTGAAGAAACCAGTTTGTGGAGGTTTTAGAGACCTGAAGAGACCAGTTTGTGGAGGTTTTAAAGACCTGAAGAGACCAGGTTTTGGAGGTTTAAAGGACCTGAAGAGACCAGGTTTTGGAGGTTTTAAAGACCTGAAGAGACCAGGTTTTGGAGGTTTTAAAGGGCCTGAAAAAACCAGTTTGTGGAGGTTTTAAAGACCTGAAGAGACCAGATTTTGGAGGTTTTAAAGGATCTGAAGAGACCAGGTTTTGGAGGTTTTAAAGGGCCTGAACAGACCAGGTTTTAGATGTTTTGGAGACCTGAAGAGACCATTTTGGAGGTTTCATAGGGACTGTTGTCCCGTTCTGGTCTGATGGAGGATTCCAGCTGTTCAACAGTCCTGGATCTTCTTTGCTGGATGAGAGCAGTTCTAAAACCTGAGCTCTTCTGCACTGGTGGTGCCTGGTCAGATTTGTAAGCTGCCCATGTCAGAGGTACTAATGCACCCCCATACCACAAGAGAGACAGGATTTTAAACTGTGTGCTGATAACAAGTTGGATGATCCCTCTCCTCTTTATGGACGTGGTGTTCGTGGTTTCAGTTCTGAACTTCGCCTCGATCTATTAGAAAGGAGCTCTGGTCCAGAGAAGAAGGCAGCGGTTCTGGATGGTCCACATACACCGCTTCGAGCAGAATGTGTCAAACTGTTTACAGACACTGATTTGTTGAAGTGTTCCTGAGCCCTTGCAGTGATGTCCAGAACAGAACCAGACCTGGTTTTAATGCAGGGGCCCCTGAGGGCCCGGTGCACGACAATCACCTTCAGCCTCGTCCTTTGAGCGCAGAGATTTTCACAGATTCTTCTAATCTGTTGATGAGATTATGAGCTGCATATGTTGGATGTTCAAGTCTTTCATTGAGGAACTTTATTCTGAAGTTGCTCCACGACTTTTAGACACAGTTCTTGGCAGACTGGTGACCCTCTGCCCATCTTTACTACCAGTCCTCCCACTGACCTGTTGCTAATTAACCCAATTAGTTATAAAAATGTTTCTTATTCGTACCATTACTTACTTACTTGAAAAGATTTGTAAATCATTGCATTCTGTTTTATTTACATTTACAGAACGTCCTAACCTGTTCAAATATAGGGTTGTATTATTTATTTTTCTAAATGTGTTTAAAAGACAAATAAATTGATCAGTGAGGTATCATACGAGCTATACGGCTGAAATGTAAAAGTTACAGGCCTTAGTGCTTGAGTAACTGTAAATGTGAGGAAGAGGAGATTTGATTTTCTCCTGAAGCATCAGTGTAAAGACGCTTGCATGAGTTGTAAACGTTGGCCAAGTGATTTGCTGCAGAATGATGCTGATGGAGCCGTTCTCATGCACTCTCCTGCACTTCTGCTGGCGTCGCGGAGCGATGACATCACTGCAGCGTGACGGTTGCATCGATGGTCCTGCATGAGGAAATATTAGAACGATTACAGATCCTGCAAGTCCCACATGCAGTGCCTCAAAACCTGTTTGACCACACCTACCTTTATTTTAATCCATCTATCCGTCATCTTTACCCGCTTCTTCCTTTTCGAGTCACAGGGGTCACTGGTGGACACTCTGGACAGGACTCCAGTCCATCACAGGGACACATAGAGACAAACAAGACAACCATTCACTCTCTCACTCACACCTACGGACAATTTAGACTTACCAATCAGCCTAACATGCATGTTTTTGGTCGGTGGGAGGAAACCCACGCATGCAAACTCCACCCAGAAAGGCCACCGGCAGGGATTTGAACCAGCGACCTTCTTGCTGAGAGGCAACAGCTCTGATCCACCATGCTGCCCAGTATAAACACCATTAGAAGCAATTTAATTTGACAATAATTAAGTGTTTTAATAGTGCAAACAGCCTCATCATCACCCCCCCAGGCTGCTGAACCACTGAACTCAAAGACGTGACTTTCCTTTCAGGCTGCGTGCGACACAAAGTTAATTACATCTTTAGTGGTTTCCCACACCTCAGGGTCAGGAAGCCCGTCTCCCTGGCAGTGATGAAGGATGACTCATCTTCCTCTTTGTGTCCCACTGCAGGGTCCACAAGGTCCTCCAGGTGGTGTGGGTCCCATGGGGTCTGTGGGTGAGAAGGTGAGTCCATGTCTCAGAGTGGTTTCATTCATGCAGGCTTGAAGCTATTAATGGAAGTTTAATCCTTTTAGTTTGTTCAAATTGTTTTTGTTTACCACATCTGGTAAGTTTTAAACAAGAATATAAACATGATGTGTAGCCGCAATAACTTTAATTCTAAAGTTTAAGAGCCCGTCATGTGTCAGTTTGAAGGTTTATCTGCTCCGACGCTGACATTTATTTAACCACAGGGAGAGCAAGGTGAAGCGGGAAACCCGGGACCACCTGGAGAGCCTGGAACTGGGGTAAGAAACTCGTTTTTTGTTTCTAAATTAACGTTTAGCAGGAGTTGTGTTTTTATTTTAGCTCTAAGCTTTAACATCATCTTACTTTTGCATTCCTCTAAGGCTGGTTGGGTTTATTTGAGCAATAGGAGAGCTGGTATTATCTGCAGAACATTTATTTGGAGGTTCTCCCAGCTAGAACATTATGAATGGCAGAACCTGTGCTGCTGTGTGTCCATCTGTGATACTCTCAGATCCTCCCAGCATTCATTCAACCTTTATTTATACAGGCCGGTTCCCATTGAGCCTCGAGAACTCATTTACAAGAGAGACCTGTTACAGACAGACAAAAGTAGAAAAGAAAAAGAGAAAACATGAAGGAAGGGAGGTAAAAAAAGTCATATCTCACACTATGTCCTGGTCGGGGCACAGTGTGAAAGTTGCAAAAAAAAAAGACCTTGCACATAAACAGCAACATACTGATGACATCATAATATATTTATGTACGAGGAGGCCGACGAGGGCAGTGAGTTGTCCATAGAGACTCCCTGAAAGTTCCATAGTCCTCATAAAGATGGCACAGTGTCTATCAGCCGGCTCAAGTCTGACACAGATCCACAGATGTACTTGGGAGGGGAGTGATGGGGGGGGGGGGGGCGGCTTCTTGTTCACATAAACAACCAGGAGAAGTTGGAGAGATAGCTCAGTTCAAGGATGAGTGGGGAAGCCAAATTCAGATAACACAATTATTATGGGTCAGGCAGCATCTGCTCGAATGTCCATGTCTGCCTTCATAGTTCTGCTGGTACGTCTCACTGGTGATTCCAAACAACCAAATTTTGTGGTTGCACTGCTGGACCGAGCTTGTTGCTTCTCCAAGTTCGATTCCTTCCCACCAGTGAGTCCCAAGAGCCGCAAGAACCGCTGTCTTCCGAATTTGTCAATATGCTAGATACCCGCCAACACCAAAAAACAAAAATCCGGTTATCATAAATCCAATTATGTACACGTCTTCTACGTCCTCAACGAACAATACAGACACACCATCTTCCACCGGCCACAGGAATCCATTGTGTATCCAGCTGCGAGTGTCCCTTCAGGGCATGAGGGCTCTCCTTTGCCCTGTCTTCTTGTTGAGAAAATTTTGTCAATTACGTTGAGAGACAAGTTGACCAGATCCATAATTTACAATTCGAAAGATATGTAGTGAGAAGCTCCGATGGGAATCACAAGACAAAGAGCAAAGCAGGAGGGAGGCAGGAGCAGGAGGGAAATGTGTCCGTCCTCGTCGAGAGCAAGCAGGAAATGCATGGCTCCTCTGCTGAGCCTCTTATCTTCAGACATAAACCACGAGGACAATATGTCTGCTGCAACGCTCTCACACATCAAATCATCAACTTAAGCTAAGATGAAGCCCCCATTTCAAATACTCATGTGTTTATTGGCATATATCCTGAAGTCAGACAGAAATAAATGAAAAAAGTATGTTTGATTTGATTTTACTGAAATCCATCATGAATGTTTCTGTCTTTAAAGAGATACGATAAGCAAAGCTGAGAAATATATCATTCAGTCAAACTTTATCTATAAAGCACCTTTAACATGTTAGATTGTAACAAAAACATGATTTACAGTCAATAATAAGGAAACATCAGAGACATGTATTAAAAACTCAATATTTAAATTGTACAACCATGAAATCTAAGAGGAAATAAACAAATACATGGAGCTGCATGTCGGCCCTCCAAATGAATTAGGATCTGGATGTTTTTAACCATTTATATTCAATAAAAGTAGTACATACGTAAAGCATAAATAGAAATCTATATATCCCCTTTAACTGAATGATTAATGGAGTTTATTGCTATAAACTAATTAAACTAAATTTGACTAATTGCTTCATGATAATAAGGCGTCAACAGAAACGTGGGACTCTCCAGTCAGTCATGGTATATTTACAATTATGGGTTATTAACAATTAAACCTTTATTTTACAAGACTTTCTGCTTTTTTTTAATTATTCTGCGTAAACTTTTTTTATTCAGATTTTATGTAAGGAGTCAGCGAAGGGGTTCACTTATCTTCAGCCACAATAATCATAAATAAAAACTTGTATTTTAGGCAGTATTTCATGACTCATTCTTTTAACTGTAAAGGTTGTGCAATTATTCATTATTTGTTATTTTATATGTTAATAGTTGTCAAGAACTTGTTTTTGTTTTTTAACAAATGCACATAAATTGAAGTATTGGGTCTGTAGTTCTTAAGTTTCAAATAATTAAGCTAAGATTTTTGATTATGGTGCATTAACCTAAACCAGTGGTTCCCAACCCTGGTCCCTGAGGAACACCACCCTGCATATTTTAGTTGTTTACCTGCTTTGACACACCTAATTTGAATGAATGGATGATTAACAGGCTTCTACAGAACTTGATGAAGTAATTCAATCACTGAATCAGGTGTGCTGGAGCAGAGAAACAACTAAAATATGCCGGATGGTGTTCCTCAAGGACCATGGTTGGGAACCACTGAAATGCTAATTTCCCACAGCAAATCCCATTCTTATAAAATATTAATATTTTTTATTTATGCATTGAAAATGTTCATTACACAGCTGACTGGTGCAACGTTCGACAATCAGGACAATCTCCTCCTGAAAACAATTCTTGTTTCTCTACAAAAAGATAAAGATATAAAAATCGATCCGCACATTTAAAACATTGTCGTCCCCGAGAGCTGAAGGGGATTGAAGATTCAGGAATTTAGGGGGTATGTGAAAGTTGTGTCCTGAATGGTTGTTTTGAAAAGCACGACCTATTGGACCATTTAAATCTGTCTGAAGGCCCAGAGCAGATCAAAACCAGAACGGCTCAGCTTAATGGCAGGTTCTGTCCATCATTAACTTCTGAGAAACGTTGCCTCTTGAGATGCTGACATAAAGAATACCACCCACACTCATCTCTCATCTCATCACTACAGGGTCCTAAAGGTGAGAGAGGAGAGAAAGGCGAGGCTGGCCCCCCTGGAGCTGCTGGACCTGCTGGAGCCAAAGGACCCCCTGGAGATGATGGTCCAAAGGGCAACCCAGTAAGTCCAACAAACACAGTAGAAATCTGTAAAAAGAAGCTTCTCTGATGCTCGGACGCATCTAGCTTTCAGGGAAATTATGCCCCAGCAGCAGCTCCTCGAGCCTTCTTTTACTTCACTTTCTCTCTTTGCAGGGTCCTGTTGGATTCCCTGGAGACCCAGGCCCTCCTGGAGAGCCAGGTGTTGCTGTGAGTATGAGTCTTACTACAGGCCTTTGCACAGGAGAGCATGTAGGGTTTTGTTTTGTGGATTAAATGGTCATTGAGTTTTTTTAAGGTGCTCGTCACTCTTTTGCAGGGAACTGATGGAGAACCAGGGGAGAAAGGAGATGACGGGGAAGCTGGTCAACCAGTAAGTTCTTGATTTTTATTACTATAATTCAGACTGAATAAATGACTGCATTGGTTTATTTTGTTTACTCTACATAGTTCTCAAATTTTTTAGCTTCTGACCCCCAAAATAGCAACGGCAAGGAGTTGCGACCTCAAATATCCTCGATTGAACAACACAAACATTACTTCAGAAGTAAATAAATAATGATAACACAAAAAGCTTAAACTCAAAATGTGCAATTTTTGTAAAAAAATTCTGTTTTTTGTCTTTTGTAATTTACAGTATTATTATGTTATTAGAAATTATTTTTATGAATTTGAACATTAGCTCAAGACCCCCAACTTGATGTGGATCACTGCTCTACATTTTCTATTTAATAGGCTCTTTTTTTATAACATACCAGCTTTAAATTATCATTAGTTTCTTACAATAAGGAATAATTAAGGCTGTTGTTATTTCTAATATGGTTGTTATTTTGATGCTTCCGTTATTTTGTAAAGTCTAAAAATGCATAAACTTGTAAAATTTCACAGTAAAAGTAATAAAAAATAAAAAAAAATTTAAAGATGTCAAAAACATTACACAAATCAACATTTTAAACCTTAAGCCATGCCATTCGTAAAATTCTAACATTCAGCCACGCCCCCTGTAAAATTCTAACATTCAAGCCACGCCCCCTGTAAAGTTTTAACATTCAGCCACGCCCCCTGTAAAATTTTAACATTCAGCCAAGCCCCCTGTCAAATACTAACATTCAGCCACACCTCCTGTAAAATTCAAACATTCAGCCACGCCCCCTGTCAAATACTAACATTCAGCCACGCCCCCTATAAAATTCTAACATTCAGCCACGCCCCCTGTAAAATTCTAACATTCAGCCACACCTACTGTAAAATTCTAACATTCAGCCACGCCCCCTATAAAATTCTAACATTCAGCCACGCCCCCTGTAAAATTCTAACATTCAGCCACACACCCTGTAAAATTCTAATATTCAGCCACGCCCCCTGTAAAATTATTATTATTATTTTTTAGCTCAGTTTAAGTGTAGAAACATTGTGAAGTGTTTCAATGAACTTATCATCATCGCTCAATTTTTTTTAATTTTTTTTTTTAAAAAGAGAAGAAAGAAGAAAAATAAATAAATAAATAAAAGAGAATTAGATAAAACGAGAGACCACCACGACAAAACAACATGCACAGCACAATGCCATCCACAATATCACCATGAAACATTCGACATGGCACAAGGAATCATCTAGTAAAGTAAAATTATAATATTCAGCCACGCCCCCTGTAAAATTCTGTCAGTCAGTCAGGTCCCCTGCAACAATTTAAACATTAAGTACCGCCTCCTTCGTTGATTGACACTTACAAAAATGACTACACCCATTTAACTTAATAAGACTTACAAAATAAGTCTTGAGAACCTGTAGTTCAAACCGTTTTGGAAGTTGGCCATTTTATATTAAAAGCATCACAGCACAAGCCGGAGCTTACAAATTTAATTACCCGTGTTCTATTTTTAAACATTTCATTTTTTCCAAGTCTGTAAAACAAACTACAAATCTGTTGTTCACAGGTGCTTGATAAAAAGACTACTTTAAGATTCTTTATCTAAAACTAGAAACAAAACTAATTGTAATGTGCCTGTGCAGTGCCAATTTATTTCAAATCACAGCTTTTATTTCAAATAAAATAATAAATAAACCCATATTACTGCCAAAACAAAACACAAAGTCTTATCTTTAAACAGGACTTTTGTTGTTTATAAAACCTGGTTCTATCCTTAAAATCTGTGAAGATTGGCTCAAACTGCTGGCACTGCAGGGAAGTAATTTATCAAAGCACGAGTTTGTTCGACTCCTAATCCTTTATTCAGACGACTTTAAGAGATTCAGTGCAGCGGGCTCGACTGACATCATCACTTGTTTGTTTGCTTGTTTTCAGGGACCTCCGGGTCCATCCGGAGAGGCTGGTCCACCTGGTCCACCCGGCAAGAGGGTAAGTCTGAAGTCGGAGTGTTTCTGTTCACATTGTTGCACCACAAGAAATCATCTCAGTCTCACCTGAAGCTGGTCCCAATTGAGTTTTTTGATGTGCAAGTTCTTTTTTTTAATATATATATACGTGAGCTTATGATTTATCCGCTCACATTGTAACGTTGACTCTTCAGCTAATGATTTAGCCTCGGCTGGCAACAGCTTCTTTACTTCTGGCAGTAAATCTGCTGAATTTCATTTTCATTAAAAGCAGAGCGGTGAGAACAAAGTGAGAGATTTAAGAGGTCGAGGTGCTGCTCTGTCTGTGAGGCAGATTGAAACTCATGAAAATCATGAATTATGTTTATTCTTTAGTAGGAAATGAAAAGGTTTACTAAAAGGAAGAGAAACGAGCTGAAATAATTTGTTCTAAGTTTCAGTTTTTGTCTATCGGTGAGTGTTCGGAGTTTATCCCTGGTTGCCTGATAGGCTGCAGCAAAACAAAAGCAGAACGTGAGAAAGTTGCTGAAAGACTAAAAAAGAAGATTTAGCCTTGAAAACACAATCGCAGCTTTAATCCTGGATGTTTATGGGTATGGTGAGTTTGTAATTTTTAAAGATTAGAATTAAAATGAGTGAAAAAAAAGCTTTTTCTAAAAACCCAGCGTCAACACTGAGCTCTGAGTGACTTTACTGAACTTTACTGACGTAGCTAAAACTAAGCATTGCTAAAAAACAAAACAAACAGAGCACTAGCTAAAAGTTAAAAACAGCAAAAGGTCATATAAAAATTAAAAAGGACTAGTTAAAAGCAGCAAAGGCTAGCTTAAAGATAAATGGAGCAAAACAGTAGCTAAAAGTAGCGATAGGTTAGCTAAAAGTAAGAAAGTTCTAGATAAACTATAAGTTGCAAAAAGCTAGTTAAAAGCTAAAGTAGCTAAAATGTAGGTAAATGTATAAAAAGGCTAGGTAGAAGCTAAAAGTAGCAAAAGTAGAAAAAAGCTATCTAAAATCCAAAAGCAACAAAGGCTAGCTTAAAGCTACATGGAACAAAACAGTTGTTGAAGGTATCAATAGGTCCGTTAAAAGTATGAAATGTCTACTTAAACGTTGTAAAAATATACCGTATTTTTTACTATAAGTCGCATTTTTTTGCATCATTTGCATGCCCCGTGACTTATAGGCCAAAGTGACGTATTTATGTTTTTTCCCATATTTATAAACCAATTTTTGGCGGAGATATGACCGTTTTCATTCATTCTGACTGAAAATATTGAACACTACCATTTTCAGCCACTAGATGGCACTTGAGTAGTAAGACATACCATTGTATCATGTAATAGGTAAAAGTGGCTATTAATGACACAATTGACTTGACATAGCCTGCCACCGTCTTCTGCCTGGAGCAACCAAATCAGCTTCATTTCACTGCGCCACCGCGGCAAAATGCAGCTGATTTGACCCTCAAAGTGCATTTATTAAGTAAAAGTTCAACTGAGAGACACCTTTACTGTAAAGTCGAGCTAACAAATAATTGTTTTTAGGTGGTTATCTTGTTGAATTTTGAAGAAATGGACCGAGTCGCCCTCTGCGCGTTCCTGCTTCCGCGAATCGGGTTTTGAAATGCAGCTGATTTGACCGTCAAAGTGCATTTATTAAGCAAAAGTTAAATTGAGACACAACTTTGCTATAATTTTTTGCAAACAAATAATTATTTTTGAGTTCTAATCTTGTTAAATTCTTGTTAAAGTCCTCCGTGCATCCTCCCGCAGCCGCCTTTTGGCAGCCCATTGATTTTTGGCACAACACCGGCGCACATTTCCGGGTTCGGCCCACATTTCCAGGTTGTCAGCAGTGACGCATAATAGATGCGACATATACAGTGAAGTGACATATTTATGAATTTTTCCACTTTATTAGACATATAAGGACTGATGCGACTTATAGGGCAGTGTGACGTGTGTACGGCGGAAAATACGGTAGCTAAAAGCTAAAGTAGCAGAATGTTGGATAGCTAAAGCTAAAAGCAAAGGCTAGAATAAAGCTAAACAGAGCAAATGAGTTGCTAAACCTCACAACAGGTCAACTAAAAGTAAGAAAAGCCAGCTAGGTAAAAGCTAAAGTAGCAAAAAGGGTAGGCAAATGTATCAAAAGGCTAGCTCAAAGCTAAAAGTAGCAAAAGGCTAGCTCAAAGAAAAAATAGTGAAAGGTATTAAACCACTAGCCTAAAGCTAACAGCTGGGTCTTTTAGTACCATAACGTTACAGCTAAAAGTAAAATTTACCTGTACAAATAAAGTGATCGACTGATTGATTGGGTGATCTCTTGGTTAATTGATAGATTCACTGATTAGTTGAATGTACCGTATTTTTCGGACTATAAGGAGCTATTAAAATCCTTAACTTTTTTCAAAAATCAACAATGAGCCTTACAATCCAGTGTGCCTTATTTATTAATTCTGGTTGTGCTTACAGACCTCAAATCGATTTTATGTGGTACACGGTGCTCAAAAATCTGTCAAAATGTTTTAGTTTCGCTTAATGCACCTTATAATCCGATGTGCCTTATAATCCAATGTGCCTTATAATCCAATGTGCCTTATAATCCGATGTACTTTATAATCCGATGTGCCTTATAATCCAATGTGCCTTATAATCCGATGTGCCTTATAATCCAATATGCCTTATAATCCAATGTGCCTTATAATCCGATGTGCCTTATAATCC